TATCTACTCCAAATCTCCTAAGAATTATTTATGTTAATCTTTTCACACGATATTCACGGTTAAAGGAGTAAAAAGTACAAATACATCTACCGATAAACGGTTTTGCAGCCTTAGTATTACTCTTCGAGGCATTTTTCAAAGCAACGACCAAAATTAATACTAAAAAACTTCCAACTGGTCAATTAACAGCTGTGAAACATTTCCTGCAGTTTTCTTATATTATCTAAACCAGCGGTTCCCAAACTTTTCCTAGTCGTGGCGCCCTTTCTCAATTAAAATTTTTCCATGGCGCAATACCCTAAGTATGACTATTCCTAAGTAAGAGATAAAAATTAATAAAACTCGTGTCTTCATTATTTTTTTAAATTCATTAACATTAAATTAATATTTGATAATTAATGTGATTGATGAGTCTGCAAATCAGTGCACATTTTCTCAAATCGTTGAATTGAACTGGACATCTCCTCATCTCCTTTTTCACGTTGATTTTTGCTCTATACTTACTCAAAGACAACAAACAAGAAGTAATATAACACTAACTAAATTACAATATGAACTCATTTACTAATTTATGTCACTGTTTATTTATATATGAAGCGCTGAGTTTAATTGCACTAGACTCAAATTACAAATCGACTGGATGAATCGAGCCGGCAATGCTTGCATATATACTTTCCGTAAGATTTTCCAGAATATTCCAAATCTGCCGTGAAGGTTCTACGCAACTCGGCGTTACTAGTGCGATCATATGACGCGATCGAGAAGACGCAGCGTTTTCTCTCACTTTTTTGTTTAGTTAGGCCAAATGTCTGGGTTAAATTAATAATGAAGCTTTTACAATATTTCGCGGCGCCCCTGTAAAGAGGCCGTGGCTGTCCGGGGCGCCGCGGCGAACAGTTTGGGAATCACTGCTTTAAGCTATAACTCTTTATCGATTACAAATCTGTTCTAAAAAATCACTTTCAGAAGCCCAAAATAACATGTAACAAGCAGTAAACACATAGGAAGAAATTATGTTAAATCTAAAAGCACAACTGAAAAGAAGAATTAAAAGAAAATTGTATAGAAACTGTGTGCAACTGCAACTGCCACTGTTTATCCCTTTTAATAAGTGTCACTCCTATAATTTATCTCACCCAGAGCATAGCTTTTAAAAATTCTTTTTCAGTACTTTCCCATTTTAATTCCAATTTTTAGATAGCTGTGATAAATCTACTGCAATTGTTCATCCATATTCTAAAGATCATAACAACCATTAAGTGTTTCATAATTAGAAGTATATTATTGGGACTTTGAAGACTTCTATGGAAAGGTTGAACACAAGGGTTTAATGAAGCCGAAAATAGGCCCTTGCACTGTCACTGTCATCAAAAAAAGAGATCTGCGATTAACGCTACACTATAAGTATTGGTGGCTAAGGTGCGGCCATGGATTAAAAAGATATTGCCTCTGTGATGAGAATTATAAAGTGGGATTCGCTACTACCCAGTTCGCTTAACCTTGTTCTTTTTTCGAAGGTATAAAGACCAAGATGGTGTAGCCTTTTGTGTGGTCGCAGTCTCCTTTCGTTGAATAGAAGT